AATATATTTATCTAATGTTTCTATATCTTTCCAGTTTTAGAAAATGAAAAAGGACTCACAAAACTGATCTTGCCAACATTTACGTTTGATATCAGTAATATAATTCCATTCCATTTTTGGCCTATAAGTTGTGACTAAAGTTTGGTGTCTATTCTTATCAGCATAATAACTTATAGATCCTCTGTTAAGAGAGGACAAAGCCTAAATTGATTTTGGAAATAGATAGGACAGTCAGCTTGTTCCATCTTTGTCGCTAGATAAAACTAATCTACAACGATAAAACTGGTAGGTTGGTTTTGAACTCATTGTATAAACTAAATAGAATTGAAATTAAATAGGAATAATTATAATTTCAATAATCATCAATGCAGAATTGCTTATACATAACAATCAACATGGGAAACGGAGAACCACCGAATTTGTAGCAGTATCCCAAGATACTGACCGATTCAGTCCATAATTTTTAATTTTGGCCGATGTTATTACTCGAAATTATATGTGAGTGAAAATATTTCCGGTTCAGTTTTTTTTTTTAATTATATATGCATTAGTGTGATAGCACTAAATTTCAGTTGAAAACTATAAACGATTTTTGTAAGAGGCTTTAAATACCTCAATGAGCATGAATCTTCCTTGTCTCGAAGCATATCGCGTTACTAGGAAGCTTCAAGTTTTGTGAAGCGTTATGGTATTGAAGTAGTGCAGAAAAAAGTTTAAATTGGGAGACATTGGTCAAAAAAAACCACACAAAAACTATTCCAAAATAAGGTAAAAGTAAAGTCCTATAAGTTTCAAAAAATAAAAAAATTAATCCGATGTTCTTTCCTAAACTTGTTCATTGTAAATGGAAGACACTGAGGTTATTGTAATGAGACTAGAGCTTGGAAATTCAACAAAAGGGAACGTGTGGATACTGCAAGGCTTATTGCAGTTCTCTATGGTCAATGGTGTATAGGAAATCACGAAGAGAAACTGCTCATTACTTTTAATACTCCTTGCCTTGTGAATTGCCAGCTCTGGCGTCCAGAACAAATAGGTTTTTAGAAAAACTCTTTTTTGACAGCTTGTCAGACAATTTATCAGTGAATATGAAAGATCATCTTTCTATTGTAAGGTTTCTTGCGAAGAATGTGTAACAAAAATCGCTAAATGAGATCAATGGAAACTTCTCCAACCAACCAATATTGATGTTTATAAAAATAAGAATAGAGAGGAAGTTGCTGCGCTTGCATAAATGTAGTCAATTGTCGATTCTCGTCCTCCTTTACTAGAACGAGATATCAATTATTCTCTCAATTGACTTTACGTTACTTATATATACTCTATCTGATAATTTAGATTATCGAATGGGCATAAGAAATCAAATCCCGACATTTGTGTTGACTCTGGAGACTATTGACTGTGACAGTTTTGGTTCGTAACACCAGAGCTACTACAAATACGTAATAAAAATAATTTTTGGAAGATGTTCTAAAGTCAAAAATTTCAGTTATAATGGAATAAATTTTTCTGCAAGATTCAAGACTATCAGAGCAAACGTTCCAGACTTAATCGACTCAACCGCTCAAAAGTCTCTACAGCCACCAGTGCATTCCACAGGCCATGGTTAAAACTATAAAAAACCAGAGTGTTCACATGTTCAGGAATACAATTCTTCATTGTTGGGTAAAGGTTTCTCAGGTCCACATTTATACAGCATGCCACTTATTTTTCGATCAGATGAACGAATCTGAGCTATAGTTTGCGGTAATAAATGCACTCATATCATATATATCATATATAATTATTAAAAATTTATTAAATTTAATAAAAAAAAATTTAATTATTTTCCACATTTTGCTATACATTCAAAAAATACAGATCTGATTTTGGAATCTGGAGTGGTGAGGTATTCAATTTGAGCTTTTAAAGCTCATATATTTACCATAATCGCACCTCAAGTTGTGGTAATTTTTAAGAAAATCTTAAGAATTCTGACGTCTTCTCTATGGAATAATGATACAATTGCTTTTCACAGACCCTTCTTTTAAGGGTCTTTCAATAAAAAAATGCTAGATATATCAAATAGAAAGATAGCTTAATGGAATAATGTTAAAATTATATAAAGGATGTGTCCACTATCCTTTCTTCATTGTTCAAAAAATTTTTAATGGATCGAATAAAATAGAACTTATATGTATATCTGGATATGCTGGAGATACATGTTGTTTCCCGAAAGTATTGATCCATTTCACATTCATGTTTTCATAAATAATAATGCAAATTTTTCTAGTACTAATATTCTAACAATAATAGATATAATATTGTAATATTTACTTATAGTCAACTCATCTCTCAGATATTAACCTTCGTGTTCCCAAAGGCTCGTTGTCCTCTTTTGCACCGAAACTTGTGGTTTTAATAATTTTTTTCATACTATCCTAATATAATATATATATATTGTTCTTTTCAATGTTGCTAGAACCCAAATCGAACTTTGGGCTTCCTTTAAAAATATGATTCATAAATCCAATTTTGGTTATATATTTCATAAAGACGGATTTTGAATATTGGACGAAATGATCGACATCGACTGATTATAATTCATTGCTGTCATATAATGTGAAAAGTCGGGAGGAAGTATTAATAGAATATCTTACGATTTATGAAGTTAAAACTTAATCCGCAGTGGTTGTGACGTAATAAAGTTTGATTCATATTGTTAATATTAAATTTCTTTCGATACAGATATTGATATATACTCTTTTTCTAAGGCGGTGATAGAAAAATGATCTTATTAATTAAATATTTAAACCGATCTCAGATATCAGGTATTACAACTCATGTTATATATTACAATTAAAATCTAATTTATTAACTGATAAAGACTTAAATTCATAATTAAGTATTGTTATTTAATTTTATTTTGTCACTATAAATGTAGTCGATTTTTTGTAGATTCAGGATATATGCCAAATAATCCATTGGTTCAGGAAAATGTTCTTTACGAACGTCCTTACCGAATTAGATGTTGAGATCTGAAAATTAAATGTAACCTAAATTTATTATATTTTACTGATCGGATTTGATTTAAATATTGCAACCAAAGATACTATGTGTACGAATGGTACAAGTTGTTAAATATTTAATTGGAGAATTATCTTTAACTCAGAGGGAATGTCATTTCAGCTTTATCAAAATTAAATCTCACATTTTTAGTTTAGTTTGAATCATTGTTCCGGAACTACATGGTTGCATGGATGAAAGGTTTTGCAGAAGAAGTAAACCCCAAATCATCAAGTAGGAACATCTTACCAGCATAAACCGTGTATCAAGCCACATGTGGAGGGGATGAAGTCCCTGAGTCGACAAAGCACATTCCAGGAAATCAGTTAATTGATGCACAAAACACAAAAAACTCGATGAATATTTAAAATACCAGGGGCAAAGAACTCTCAATACTTAATTCAGTCTACGTTCTCGCACTCATAAAGACAACAAAACGGGATAAGATTTTATAATAGACTAGTTTCTATTCAACAATGTTAGAGGCGTTTCTTATAGTTCGAAGAACTTCTCATTGAATACGTTGAATTATCGCAAACTTAGATTTATCGACTTATCTCCAAGTGTACTAAAAAACCATGTGGGGTTTAGAATCGCTTGATAAACAAGAAGGCAATTTGTTGTAAGGAGAATTTAGAATGTCCAGAACATTTTTATGAGCTGAATGCCAAGTTGTTGTCTTTTAGTAACTATATGTTTCTTCTATATTAGCTGACCATTTTACTTTGTAATCTAGGTGATTTAGCGTCGTAATCATTGACATTTACGTGTCGTAAAGGTTATTTGTACCGATTTTGCACCATTTTCTTGCATTTTGAAAGTCTCCAAGCAATTTGCTACCTTTTAAAGCTCATTCTGGCGATTAAATGCTTCATCTATGTGTCATCAAGCAAATAGATAAATTCGCTGTTTCTGGAAGATCATCTAGGAAAAGTTCTACTATTATAACTTTATTGCTTATTCCTACGGCAGATATGTGGTGTGCCGCATAGCTTAATATAAAATAAGTTTCCAATTGGAATAAATCTATAATATTACACGTACATCAAAATCCTATGGCATGCAATATATGCCTATGCACTACAAAACAAAACGGGACCAGTTTCCCACACTCCAGCAAAAATTAAAAAAATATCCAAGAATGCTGATATATATAATTCATTCTTCTTGATTGCAGTTTCTATTATTCTGCGACATATTGTTAGTTAAAGGCTTTAAAAATAATTTGGATATATAGTAAATAGTTGATTTATATCAGAATGAGTGTCATGGACCCTCAACAAAGTTATAATAAATTTTGTCCATATGTCTGAGGGCCTTACATGAACAGCTAAAGTTAAGGATTTAGATTAGAACGCGTCAATTTTGACCGCCAAACAGGTAGGTGTTTGTATATTTCTCGTTTATATGTGTACCTTTACCACTCAGAAACAAGACATCTTGCTTCTAATGGCCCAAATTGAACCTTTTTCAATTTATATCCGACCCATTCCCAATCCACCGCCAAACTTTCAAAATTTCCGTCAACCTTGCTCAACTGCTACACCACTATTACCTAACGAATAGCAAAGATTAGATGGCACCATAATTTGGCTTGTAGTTCCTTTTTGTTATCCGCTTTTAAAACCCGGCGGGCTACAACAAAAAAAAACAGTTTCAGACAAGAAACAGATTAGCAATCATATAGCATACGTAATCCAAATACCGAACTATTTTGGGACTAAGCCCATCAAAAACGTTCATAATTTTATATCTTTCTAATTGTGTTACAAATTAAATAATTTTAATAAATATTAATTAAATTTATTAATTAACTTGTAAGATTAAATATTGTGAACTGCATCTTTGTTGAGCAACTGTGACCCGAGCACTTGTGCCTTATTTCCAACTTCAACTAATGTAGAGATCATTTTCAATATTTTGTTGTCGCTGCCTTAAATGTCCTCAACATAATTTTAAAAACAGAACTTTTAATACTTTTTAAACTAGTAACATTTATTCTTCGATGTTTCTTATAAAAGTAACGAGATTTATAATTTCTTCTCATTCTATTTAGGTCACTATCTGTTTATTTTTCTAAAATATTCCTAGGTATAACTTTTACTTAATTAACATCTCTAGATTATCTCCTTTTGACAATTTGATTTATTAATTACGTTTGTGGTTGTTGCATTAACCCGGATAGTCCGTCCCTGGATATAATGGAAATCTGCAAAGTTTCCATTTCTTTCGTATATTCGGAAACGCGGACCTGATTGCTTTAGATTGTTGTGTAAGTACTTATCTGTATATTATGTCGGATTTCGAAACATCTGCAAAAATTTATTTGAATTAAAGACTTTCTTCATATTTTTCGTTTTTTGTTTAAATACTTACTTTTAATTTGAGAAGGGTTGTTCAACAGTGGAGTGAAACCATCCATTTCTACTACTTCTACGTATTTATAGTAATAGATAGTTGCGACGAACATTCCTCTACATTCATAAGTTCATTTTTATTAAAATTGCCATACAAACTGAAATAAGATAAATTATATTCGATTGTGATATGCTATTTCTTATAATTATTCAAAAAAGAATTAAATAATTCAATAATTTATTGATATTAAAATAGTCAGACATAAAAAGTATCTAAATTATTTGTTACAAGATTTAACATTATGTTTCCAGTCTATTATTTTGGTTCATACATTTTCTTGGTACTACCAAATTCGATAATTTCGCTCCATTAGACTCCATATTCTTAGCTTCGTCGTTTTCATCCAACGCCAAAACTAAATAAGTAATTTTTCTTTGCTAATATCCAAATCATCTTTAAATGTCTTGGTTTTGTAGTGATTTTAGTATATTTTTATAAAAAGAAATGCTTCAAATGTTTCATTTTTTATTTTGTCTAAATTTAAATGATATCGATCGCTTCAAATATGACTCCCTAGAACTATGCTTATTAGAACCATCTACTCTTCTCATATCAAATTCGGATAGTTTTCATGCATATCTGCCTATTCAGCAATACCCATTCACAAGAGATATATGATATTTCCAATATCAATACAACTCAAGGACCTCATTGTACTGGAATATAAATACATTTCAAACTGATCATTTTTAGTGAACACAGGAATTATATTAAATAAATAAAAAAATATACGAATTAATAGAATCAGTATTAGGTTATATGATTAATACCTTGTCTCTATTACACGGTTGATAATGAAATATGATGTGATAAATTTATTCATTTCATGTCCTTCACTGATAATGAAATATATAATGGTAAACCCATTTCCATCTGAAATAAAAACCAATATAACGATTAAAACTAATTATGTAGTGTATTAAATAAAATTAGTATTATATTTTAAATTTATAAATCTATAAATTAGAATAAAAACTACTTAATAATTATATATATTATTGTTTCAAGTTAAGCAATACATTTCATTATGAACAGGCATCCTACACCCACTTTTGTATTCTCCCACTTGCTCTACTTCTCTTATTCGATTAATCGAAATTTAAAATGTGGCTTTAAAAAACTTTTACGTCAGTTTTTCCAAGAGAAGATCCCTAAACTATATAATAAAGTTGATTTAAAGATAATAAAGTTCTTGGTTTAAAAAATGATGACAAATATCCGGATTATGTTATCAGTTTTGATTGACAACCGTATAAGCTTTTGTTTATTAGTTATTCATTTTAATTGATTACTTTTTCTGAATAAATGAGTGTCATTCAGTTTACAAATGAATCAGTAACAACGTACTACTAAACAATTCAAACTCATTATTACCATTAACCGGATATATCTTTAACTTTCACATTCAAATAATTCAACTATACTTTTAAATATTGGACAAAGGAGCGATTACAGCATTTGCTACTTGGAGTTGATGCATTATTTCTTTGAGTTTTTAGTATATAATCACAAAAAATATACATAATATTATAATATAAGTAACATATACGCTAATAAACTAATTCATGTCAGGAACCACCTGCCATTGACGACCACGTCCTACTCTACTTTACTTTTATGAGAAAAATTTTGAGTAAGACAGACTACCTCAGCAACAGTCAATATACTACCACGAGCTCTTCATGAAGAATACAAAACGATACGTTCAAGCAATAGTTGAAGTGACATATTTAACACTTTTTTATATTTAAAGTGTGTTCTATCTGTTGATGTGAACTTACAGCAAATAAACTGAAACATTATTTAGTTTTATAAATAAACATCAATATTAACTAGCATACATACGTGCTTATCACTCATAATTATCTTTATTTAATTTTATTAATAAACCGCAATTCTTGTTGGGAAACATTTTGTTTTCGTTTTGAGTAGTGAAACATACTAGTGTTGCCAACTCGATTAAACGTCAAGCCCGTCAATATGACACAACCAAAGAACATTGGCTACTTAAAGTTATAAATAAATTCAGTTTTTATATATTGTATAATATATTATATATAATTTTCAAAATATCATCAAAATTCAAATATAACTTCATTGCGGCAAAACCAAAAACACAGGTGTGTTATTACATAATATATCTGTATTTAATGACCACTACTTCTGTTACTTTAGTTAAGATTTGGTCATTTCCATTAGGAAAATCTGATATATGCTTGTGAAATGGGTTTGATATATTAGAAAATTCTTTAAAAGGTGCAAGAGAATTTTTCTTTGTTTAAATTTTAATTGTAAAATATTTAGTTTTGTTAAAATTAGTTTATTCAGCATAGAAAACGCAGAAAATGCTGACAATTTAATATATAACAATTGTGAGATGGTTTACAATATAAATGAAGCAATATTTGCACAAAGAAAACAACGTGCAATGTATTAAAAATATTACAAACTATTTAAAAACAATAAATATCACTGTTTTCTTCAATATATCCTAGAAACCGATTTAGCAACCGACAATTGCTAAAAAATGGCCCAGATTTTTTCAAAGTAAATTTCGACATGAGCATAAAATCTTTCAACGAGCTATGCCAGAAGTTTCAACACTGAATTCTCTATCTAAATGGAGAAGAAATAAGGCGATGCGGAGCTCAAATTTTCAGTAAATTTTATTAAAAGTAATAACTAATAATAACACTAATAACTTATAAATTAGAATTTAAATACACTCTAACTATATTAATAATAAGTAAAGAAATAAAAAAAAAATAAACGTAAATTACACTACACCTATAAAAAATAAAGAATAACATTATGTATTAAAAAAAAAAAAATATAGTAACTAATCCGTCCTTTACGACCCTTTCTTACAATTCTTCTCAAGAAAATAATGTAATTATATATATATAACATATATTTAATATAATATAATAATATAATTATCGTAATTATATTAAGGTTATTAAGAAACTTTCACGTTTATAGAAACCTTCCGTAAACGCCAACACATTGTTGTCCTTTTCTGTTTTAAATAAAAGATGAAACCTAATAACGGAATATTTAATGACATATGTAATACATTATTAAAATTATTATATATAACGAAATTAACTGACATAAAAACTCATTTATATATTTTATACAACAGTTATATATATCATTTATGAGCAACAAATATTTCAAAACATTCTCAATTTTCTATTTTAACTTATAGATTTTTTATTTATGTTTACATCTTGCTTCAAGTGCTAAAAATGTCAAATTTCGATAATTTGCAATGTGACATTCGACACTTTTGGTCTTGATTTCCTTACTTTATTTTTAAGTAAATTAAGAAGCATAGGAGCTCTCTATTTAGTTGGTTATGCTTACTAAGTAAGCAGTGCAAACATACTATTAGCTGCAGTGGAAATATTATATACTAAGTGCATTCGGCAGCTCCGAAGTGTATCAAGAAACTACAAGTTGCTTGTTATAGTCGCTTAGAAATATATTGGCATCACTGTTGCAATTTCTAAAATGTTGTCATATGTGTTCGCAAAGACCAAAACTTGCATATGTGTATATAATGAAACCAAATTACATTTTGTATATAAATATATAATTCACATAAAATTTTGAAATTTTCTTTCACAACAGAAATGGTAATAGTTTTAATTCTTGCTTACAAACTTTTGACAGCTGGCTGCAATGTTCGTTGACATGTCCACTGCAGGTTCACAATAGATTACATGTCACTTTGTTGACTTTTTTGTTGTTGTTTTGCATATATATTGGCGACTTTAAATAATCTATTTATGGTTTCTTACAACACTTAGGATCTGCTAAATACAACTAATGTAGCGGTTGCATATAAGCCTAAAAATATATATCTTAGAAGACAATATATTCAGATATTATATTTAATAACTCGCCTCTGTTTTTGGTTTTGCCGCAATGAAGTTATATTTGAATTTTGATGATATTTTGAAAATTATATATAATATATTATACAATATATAAAAACTGAATTTATTTATAACTTTAAGTAGCCAATGTTCTTTGGTTGTGTCATATTGACGGGCTTGACGTTTAATCGAGTTGGCAACACTAGTATGTTTCACTACTCAAAACGAAAACAAAATGTTTCCCAACAAGAATTGCGGTTTATTAATAAAATTAAATAAAGATAATTATGAGTGATAAGCACGTATGTATGCTAGTTAATATTGATGTTTATTTATAAAACTAAATAATGTTTCAGTTTATTTGCTGTAAGTTCACATCAACAGATAGAACACACTTTAAATATAAAAAAGTGTTAAATATGTCACTTCAACTATTGCTTGAACGTATCGTTTTGTATTCTTCATGAAGAGCTCGTGGTAGTATATTGACTGTTGCTGAGGTAGTCTGTCTTACTCAAAATTTTTCTCATAAAAGTAAAGTAGAGTAGGACGTGGTCGTCAATGGCAGGTGGTTCCTGACATGAATTAGTTTATTAGCGTATATGTTACTTATATTATAATATTATGTATATTTTTTGTGATTATATACTAAAAACTCAAAGAAATAATGCATCAACTCCAAGTAGCAAATGCTGTAATCGCTCCTTTGTCCAATATTTAAAAGTATAGTTGAATTATTTGAATGTGAAAGTTAAAGATATATCCGGTTAATGGTAATAATGAGTTTGAATTGTTTAGTAGTACGTTGTTACTGATTCATTTGTAAACTGAATGACACTCATTTATTCAGAAAAAGTAATCAATTAAAATGAATAACTAATAAACAAAAGCTTATACGGTTGTCAATCAAAACTGATAACATAATCCGGATATTTGTCATCATTTTTTAAACCAAGAACTTTATTATCTTTAAATCAACTTTATTATATAGTTTAGGGATCTTCTCTTGGAAAAACTGACGTAAAAGTTTTTTAAAGCCACATTTTAAATTTCGATTAATCGAATAAGAGAAGTAGAGCAAGTGGGAGAATACAAAAGTGGGTGTAGGATGCCTGTTCATAATGAAATGTATTGCTTAACTTGAAACAATAATATATATAATTATTAAGTAGTTTTTATTCTAATTTATAGATTTATAAATTTAAAATATAATACTAATTTTATTTAATACACTACATAATTAGTTTTAATCGTTGTATTGGTTTTTATTTCAGATGGAAATGTGTTTACCATTATATATTTCATTATCAGTGAAGGACATGAAATGAATAAATTTATCACATCATATTTCATTATCAACAGCGTAATAGAGACAAGGTATTATTCATATAATCTAATACTGATTCTATTAATTCGTAAAATTTTTTATTTATTTGATTAATTCCTGTGTTCACTAAAAATGATCAGTTTGAAATGTATTTATATTCCAGTGCAATGAGGTCCTTGAGTTGTATTGATATTGAAAATATCATATATCTCTTGTGAATGGTTATTGCTGAATAGGCAGATATGCATGAAAACTATCCGAATTTGATATGAGAAGAGTAGATGGTTCTAATAAGCATAGTTCTAGGGACTCATATTTGAAGCGATCGATATCATTTAAATTTAGACAAAATAAAAAATGAAACATTTGAAGCATTTCTTTTTATAAAAATATACTAAAATCACTACAAAACCAAGAAATTTAAAGATGATTTGGATATTAGCAAAGAAAAATTACTTATTTAGTTTTGGCGTTAGATGAAAACGACGAATCTAAGAATATGGAGTCTAATGGAGCGAAGTTATCGAATTTGGTAGTACCAAGAAAATGTATGAACCAATATAATAGACTGGAAACATAATGTTAAATCTTGTAACAAATAATTTAGATACTTTTTATGTCTGACTATTTTAATATCAATAAATTATTGAATTATTTAATCCTTTTTTGAATAAAAATAAGAAATAGCATATCACAATCGAATATAATTTATCTTATTTCAGTTTGTATGGCAATTTAAATTAAAATGAACTTATGAATGTAGAGGAATGTTCGTCGCAACTATCTATTACTATAAATACGTAGTAATAGATGAAATACTGGAAATGGATGATTTCACTCCAGTGCTGAACAACCCTTCTCAAGTTATAAGTAAGTATTTAAACAAAAAACGAAAAATATGAAGAAAGTTTTTAACTCAAATAAATTTTTGCAGATGTTTCGAAATCCGTCATAATATACAGATAAGTACTTACACAACAATCTAAAGCAATCAGGTCCGCGTTTCCGAATATACGAAAGAAATGGAAACTTTGCAGATTTCCATTATATCCAGGGACGGACAATCCGGGTTAATGCAACAACCACAAACGTAATTAATAAATCAAATTGTAAAAATAAGGAGATAATCTAGAGATGTTAATTAAGTAAAAGTTATGCCTAGGCATATTTTAGAAAAATAAACAGAAAGTGACCTAAATAGAATGAGAAGAAATTATAAATCTCGTTACTTTTATAAGAAACATCGAAGAATAAATGTTACTAGTTTAAAAAGTATTAAAAGTTCTGTTTTTAAAATTATGTTGAGGACATTTAATGGCAGCGACAACAAAATATTGGGCTTAAACAAGCTGCTTTGACATTTTTGAGTTCTTGAACTATGAAGTATTTCTTCGTGGTCATGTTGGGTTAGTGTGGTAAAGATAGCGGCAGAGAAATCTGATTTAATGCTGCAATGAGTTTAATTGATTCAATGGGAGTAAATGACTTTTGTACACAAACCTACCTGAAATCTACATAAGATAAAATGATTTAGATAAAAATATATACACCAAGGTTCCCCTTTGATACGGTTGTGTCTTTGGCTTCAAACTAGTCTTTTGAACACGGATTATTACTAGTGTTAAATTTAGGGATAAATTTACAGCTGAAACCTTCAAAAAACAGGCCCTAAGGTCTTTGCCGATTACATTGAATAAAAAAGATTATAGTTGTTATTAATGAATTTATGGTTTGAAAAGTTGATTCTAGAAATAAGATATTGCATCTCTCACTTCGTCACTTATGCTACATTTCTAAAACAGCAGCATAATTACTTCACAATTGTTGAGAGTATCTGCTCTTGTTAATGTGAATCACGGATTATATAGTTTAATTTCATCAATTTTGTCAGTTGTGTCTTCGTTATTTTGTTGGTAAATGGAGCATTTAAAGTTAAGAATATGTTCTCTTAACATTATGGATTGTTGTTTAGAATTAATAAAACAAACTGGTACCGAAAATAAAACCATTAAGAATTGATTGGATGGGTCATGTAATGAGCAAGTCCTAAAATGATATCCACAAGAATCTTGGCGAGGATGCGAACTTTAACACTGGATATAAAGTAGGTCTTATATCTACAGTTAGTTGTAATCAATATACCTATGACATAACTGAAAAGCATAAAAAGTTTTTGAAGTTATATATTTCAATATCATAAAAAGCAGAAAACATTCACATTCACATTAATCCAAATTCCAAATTTTTACATTCCTTTTGGTATTTTGGTTCAATATTAAATTGGTAGTATCTTTTAGATATAATTAAGATGTGTTAAGATCTTTATAGGAATAACACAAATCATATAGATTATGGCTCTGCTGGCAACACAGATAATTGAAAATATGCCCATTCAAGTCGTGGAGCAAAAATTTTTTGAGAGTAGCTTTGGTTGTATGGTTACAAGTTTGCCGGAAGATATACCAATGTCAGAGCTTATCGTGATTGTTTGTGAAGCCTGCGAACCAAATCTAAAAGAAGTTGCGCTGATGCGTTGTACTACAGGCAAATATCCAACGGTCTTGAATGCAAAATCATGCAGAAAAATGGACATTGACTTGTTCTTAAGGCTGCGACGTTTTGAAAATGTTAGGTTCTGCAATCGCGATACATACTTGACTGCGTATGATGTGGTGCAGTTGGGTGTTAGTTTGAACGGAAATCAGCTGTTGAATGACTAAAACGGTATGTATTAACATATTGAATTGTTTTCTTATTTCAAAATCTCCGTATCCTAAAGTCGGTTTTTGTTTTTTTAATATTTTAAAGTTTTATTTCGTATGCTATGTTTTGTGTATCTCTACACGTGTTTCGGCAAATTCGCTTTTGCCTTCATCAGGAGAATTCCTAATATTCGTTTCTTCGTTTCTTCCCCTATCCTATTTCCTTGCATCTTTGCTCTTCTTCTTTCTCCTCAATGCTCTTACTCTTCCTTTCTTGTTTCTCTCTTTTGGTCTCTTTTCCCCTTTCTATCATCCCTCCTTTTGATTTCTCTCTTTCTCTTCTCCTATCTTTCAATTTCCTTTTTTCTCTCCTCATATTTTTCTTCATTTTCTCTCTCTCTCCCTCTCTCTATTTTTTCTTTCAATTTTAACTCTCTCTTTATTTCTCTTTTCTCTCCCTCGCGCTCCCTGTCTTTCTTTTTCTTCCTCTTAATGTCTTTGTCTTTGTTTCTGTGTTCCTCTCTCACTTGCTCTCGTGTGATTATGAAATCAATGACTTTTAGCGGTTTGACTTATATAATAAACATTTGTAGTTATCACTAAAACCTCAAATGAAATTATACTACTATTGTAGGAGATCTTACGGGATGTTGTCTTATTGATAGATACATTTAGATAAAGGCATTCAGAGATGTGCGCTGAATTTTACTTTTGAATACATAAACTTACAATTAAAACAGGTTAATTATAAACGTCAGCCAATGCCTCATTTCCTACTGGGGTGTTAAAATACATCGACATTTATTTGCAACTTTTGTTTGTACAAAAAACTTGTTGCATACTTTCAGGTAAAGTGTTTAAAAAATGTGAAATAACCCAGCGAGAAATGAAAGAAGGCTCCACATAGCTTTTTAAACAGTAGCAGATGGTTTTCATGATTTCAGTACAGTCATGATAAGACAGTAATTTATGTTTCTTAGAAGAAGATTTTATTTCCAAATTTTCTACTTAGCCCAGAGTAACATCTATTGGTAAGACTGATTCTATGTTAAACCATTAATATGGACCGTGGTCTATATTTCTTAAAATTTTAGCATTTTGTTAGTATGCCATATAACGACTTAAGTAATAGGTTTTGTCCAAAAATGATACAGTCTGTATAGCAATTTTTTCATAGATTTTGACAAAACAAACTACATTCATAACATAAAGAGGTTTTTATCAAATAGTAGTGAATTGCAACAACAAATTTTTTTATTATTTTTAACTAATTGAATTTTTGGCTGACTGTACAGCTGTTGCGAGTTTTCCCAAGTGAACTAGGACTTTAATAATAGAATAATTAATAATAAAATTATTTCAATTATAGTAAGATAATTTGTGACAAAAATTGTCTTTATCATTATGGATCTATTAAGTGCCATAATAGAATATTACAGCTAAAAATACTTTGATGCTTCTAGTTCGATGTTCAAGTTCTTCAGTTCAGTTCATATGATATCTGGAGTCTGATAGACATATGTGAGCTGAATGGAGTTTAAGTTTTTTCGCAATGCTCTCGCGCACAGGAATATCGCGAGTAATTTTCAAACAATCTGTTTCTTATTTTATTCAAATTGTAAGAATGATAAGATACCGACAAGTAAATGGTTGCTAAAACTACAAGATGAGAAGATAATTATATTCACATATCTGTATGCAGATTTCTCTTTTTTAAAGAAAGAGAAAGTAAGCATTTTATTTGAGATACATTGACGGGTCACTGTTAGATACTAGAGTGTGCTAGGCGAGTGAATATTTGCTTTGACGATTCTTGCCATAGTCGAGAGGAAGTGGAAGAAAATGTTTGATATTTGCATTGTTAGTGTTTAGTTTTTCTAATGTCTAATTAATGATCCAAACCACGTCTATGACGTGGATTTAAATTTTAGAAAATCATAGACAGATATTGCTTTGCTACTGTCTAATACATTCGCAAAGCAGTTTTGCCATTGTAGAAATTTACATATTATAAGATCAATGTTAGACACAAAACTTTTTTTTGAAAAGCTTGGTTTTTCAGGCTTGGTTTTAGATTGTAAGTGAATATCTGAGGTCACCTTTATAATCTAGCAAAGTCAACTAAAAGATTTAAATCCAGCAAACCTATTGAAAAAATGTAAACCTTGGTAAAGTATAAGGAAGGATATATTTTTTGGTATTCCACTAATATATTGGACCTATATGCTAAAAATAGTAACATGGGTTTAGCCATGGAATAGAGTGGACCCAAAGCACAATTTATGTAATTCATAATATTAGTTCCATTTAATACATTTTAGACAATTTCTTCGAACTCGATCAATAGCAATACAAGAGGGACGGATTACCGAAACCATCTTTTTATTATAAAATAAAATTTCGAACCATTATGGGGACATCGAACGATCATTCTTTATTCTGTGGCAAAATTGTATAATTTACTTTCATTGAATTTTTCCTGCAGTCATTCGATCGATACTTAAATCTTTCTAAATACAAGAGGGAAATGCGTGCATTAGGAATCAAGCTTGGGCTCAATTAAAAAACTTAGGAATTTCACGTCTTCTCTGTAAAGTTTAATGCCTTGAAATTGGAGATAGACAAAAAATGTCTAATATAGCTAAAATTACTACATAATTTGCATTTAGACAAGTAACATGAGAATTACCTGAATAAGTTGTTTTCTTAGTGCTTTAATAAAAAGACGAGGAAATCGAAAACTAACACTGCCGGCTTTCCTTTCTGCTCGCACACAAAGCTCTTGCCAAATGTTGCAGAGTATCTAAACTTATACAAATATGTTGCTTGCAACACTTGCAACACTTGGACTTTGTCAAAACATGAAATGTGACAACAACAGACAACAACCAAAAACCAACAGGCAACAAGTAATGTGCAGCAGAAGGGCGTTCGGTGCATAGCACAAGTTCAAGACAGACCGAGAACGTTCCATATGGCTACCAAAGCTCACACGGATACACGCATACAGTCTGGGCAATCTACGAATGTACAAAACCACATGATCTACTCCATCGCTTGGAATTTGAATTTCGATGTAAGACCAGTACAAATCAGTGCAATACTCACTTATGGCTGATCCAACCTGTGCCGCTTTAACTGAACAGAGTCTGTGCCGTGGAGTGTGACAAAATATTGCTGTTAGTGGGAATAAGCCGATGAATGCCTGGAATTGAACAACTGAGGTGGGCTCGACCTAAAACAAATGACAATTATTTATGCAGTTTGTTCGGAAGATTAAAGTGCGAGTTGCAGTAATGAAGTTCTAGAATGTTCGCACAAGCAAAACATTTAAATATTTCATTTTGCTAAGAGTCCTTCCTATAGATGATCAGGTTGTGTAGCGATCACTGTCTCCTGTCTAGGTACTGAATAAAATTGAATTCATCATATACTTCTGGTAGTAGGTGTTGTTCTGCTAAGTAGGCACTTTGTTGATTTAAGTCAATAACAAGTGTGGTGTGCACTGGGCGGAAGTCACTATTGAATTTATAAATATTCATACAAGTTCCTACGCGTCCAATTCTCATCTAAAACTAAGCTAAAGTTGCAGCAATTTCAGATGAAAGTATGTA